GGCTCATTTTCATTCATTGTCTCATTTTAACCTCTTACTAGCCATATGAAACAATATCATTTAAAAAAAGAACTGTTAAAGGTATAATTGACATAGGATAAACTGCACATATTTAAAGTGTAAATCTTATGAGCTTAGGCAAATGTATACACCCTGTGAGACAATCATCAGAATCAAAATAATTCACATATCCATCATTTCTAAAAGTTTTCTTCCTCCCCTTTTTAATCCCACCTTTCTTACCCTCCCTCTCCTCCCTTCCCAGCAACCATTGATCTGCTCTCTGTCATTATAGATTACTATGCATTTTATAGAGTTTTATATAAATAGAATCATATGAGATATACTCTGTTTTGTCTGGCTTCTTTCACTCAACATAATTTTTTAAGATTCATCCAAGTGGTTGCATGTGTCAAGAGTCCATGTTTTTAACAGCTTCATTGAGAAATAATTCATATACCATACACTTTCCTATTTATAGTGTACAATTCCATGTTTTTTAATGTAACACATTTTTAATTTTAATATTTTAAATATAGTTTATTGATTATGCTATTACAGTTGTCCCAGTTTTTCTTGGTTGTCCCCCTTCACCCATTACCCCCATTCCTTCAGTAATCCCACTCTTAGTTCGTATCCATGGATCATACATATGTTCCTTGGCTACTCTATTACCTACACTGTTCTTAACACTGCCCTGTCTATTTTGTAGCTACCAGTGTGTACTTCTGTATCCCTGCACCTTTTCTCCCATTCTCCCCCTTCACCCTCCCAACTGATAACCCTCCAAATAGTCTCCCTATCTATTATTCTATTCCTGTTCTCATCGCTTGCTCAGTTTGTTATTGGGATTTAATTATTTTTTAAAGATTTTATTTATTAATTTTTAAAGAGATGGGAAGAGAGGGAGAGAAACATCAATGTGTGGTAGGGTCTTGAGCACCCCTACTGGGGACCTGGATCACAACCCAGGCATGTGCCCTGACTGGGAATCAAATTGGCAACCCTTTGGTTCACAGGCTGGCACTCAGTCCACTAAGCCACACCAACCAGGGCTGCATTCAATTATTGACAGTTGTGAATTAGTCGCCATTTTAATGTTCATAGTTTAGATCTTCTTCTTTTTCTTATATAATTCCCTTTAGCATTTCATATAATAATAGCTTGGTGATGATGAACTCCTTTAGTTTAACCTATTCTGGCAATCACTTTATCTGTCCTTCCATTCTAAATGATGGCTTTGCTCGATAGAGTCATCTTGGTTGTAGGTCCTTGCTTTTCATCACTTTGAATGCTTGTTGCCAGTCCCTTCTAGGCTGCAATGTTTCCTTTGAGAAATCAGCTGACAGTCTTATGGGAACTGTTTTGTAGGTAACTGCTTTCCACTTGCTGCTTTTAAGAGTCTCTCTTTATCTTTAACCTTTGGTATTTTAATTGTGATGTGTATTGGTGTGGTCCTCTTTGGGTCCATCTTGTTTGGAATTCTCTGTGCTTCCTGGACGTGTATGTCTATTTCTTTCACCAGCTTAGGGAAGTTTTTCTTCCATTATTTTTTCAAATAAGTTTTTAATTTCTTGCTCTTCCTCTTCCCCTTCAAGCACCCCTTTGATTCCGATGTTGGTACATTTGAAGTTGCCACAGAGGTTCCTAAGCCTATCCTAATTTTTTAAAATTATTTTTCTTTCCTGCTGTTCTAATTGAATGCTTTTTCCCATCCAAAGCATTTGGATGTTACAAATCATTTATCTGATTCTAAGGTTTATCCCCTCCACTGTTTGTTCCCTGTAGATTTTTCTTTATTTAACTTAATGCAGCTTTCATTTGGAACTGGTCTTTTTTATGCCATTGAAATACTCAATAAGTTCCTGGAGAATCATGATAACCAGTGTCTTAAACTGTGCATCTGATAGGTTGCTTAATTACATTTTATTTAGTTTTTTTCTCTGGAGTTTTGTTTTGTTCTTTCATTTGGGCCATACTTCTTTATCTCTTCATTTTGGCAGCCTCCCTGTGTTTCTTTCTGTGTATTAATTAGGTAAAGCTGCTTTAAATCCTTGTCTTAGTAGTGTAGCCTATTGTAAAAGAGGACACTTTTTAAGTTTTACAGAGCAGAACTTCAGGTAACCGCTGCAGTGGAGAAATCCATATCACCACTCTGTTGCTCTGTGTGTGGGGGAGGTGGCTCACAGAGGGGACAATGCCACTGCCTGACCTCTGTAGTTTTGCTGGGGAAGAAGCTGTCTCCTGGCATTTGCACTTTACTTTCTCTCCATCCATATGCCACTGGTGCCCTTCCAGCTATTTCCCCTTGTGCTGAATCTCAGAGGGGGTGTGTCTGTGTGAGTCCTATGTCCATTTTAGCCTCTTTAAGAAGAATCACTGGATAATCCCCAGTTTCTTCCACTCCCCCAAACTCAACTGGTTTTCACAGATAGAAGTTATGGGGACTTATTTTCCTGACACTGGAATCCTGGGCTTGGTGGTCTGGGCTGGGGCGTGGATCCCTCACTCATGAGGTATCCTTCTCATTTTTTATCCATCATAAGTGGGTGTAGGAATACACTTTCCCATCCCTGCACCTCTCTGTGCCACTCTGCATTTCCACGTGTCTCCACCTCTCCATGCTTTTCTACTCCTGTCCACATCTTTGCCCCTTGTACCCATCTGGATGAATGTGGCTTCTTTAGATCCTTGGTTGTCAGACTTCCACACAGCTTGATTTTCTGACAATTCAGGATGATGTTTGTTTTGTTTTCTAGTTGTATCTTTTCTGTAGTTGTGCATGGAGGTGAGGCATGTTCATCTATGCCTCCATCTTGACTGGAAGTCTCTAATACATTATTAATTTTTAAATTGTAGAGACTTCAGTCAAGATAGAGGTGTAAATAAACACATTTCAACTCCTCCTGCAAACACAGAAAGAATTACAAATACATCTCAAAAAATATTTTCCCTAAGCTGGTGAAAGAAATAGACATACACGTCCAGGAAGCACAGAGAATTCCAAACAAGATGGACCCAAAGAGGACCACACCAATACACATCACAATTAAAATACCAAAGGTTAAAGATAAAGAGAGACTCTTAAAAGCAGCAAGTGGAAAGCAGTTACCTACAAAACAGTTCCCATAAGACTGTCAGCTGATTTCTCAAAGGAAACATTGCAGCCTAGAAGGGACTGGCAACAAGCATTCAAAGTGATGAAAAGCAAGGACCTACAACCAAGATGACTCTATCGAGCAAAGCCATCATTTAGAATGGAAGGACAGATAAAGTGATTGCCAGAATAGGTTAAACTAAAGGAGTTCATCATCACCAAGCTATTATTATATGAAATGCTAAGGGGAATTATATAAGAAAAAGAAGAAGATCTAAACTATGAACATTAAAATGGTGACCAATTCACAACTATCAACTACTGAATCTAAAAAACAAACTAGGCAAACAACTAGAACGGGAACAGAATCACAGAAATGGAGATCACATGCAGGATTATCAGCAGGGATGGTGAGGGGGAATGGAGGAAAAGGTACAGTGAATAAGAAGCATAAATGGTAGGTACAGAATAGACAGGGGGTGTTAAGAACAGTATGGAAAATGGAGAAGCCAAATAACTTATATGCACCACCCATGGACATGAACTAAGGAAGGGATTTCTGGTGGGTAGGGGTGTATTATGGGGAGGGGGGAAAAGGGGAAAAAATGGGACAACTATAATAGTATAATCAATAAAATAAATTAAAAAAAGAATGAAAAGGAAATAAGAACTGATACATGCAGCAACCTGGATGAATTACAAAAACATGCAGAGTGAGAAAAGTTAGACAGAAAACAATATGTACTATATGGTTTTATTTATATGAAACTGCAGAACAGGCAAACTCAATGGTGGAAAATGATCAAAACACCAGTAGCATCTATGGGTATTCTATTCATTGAATTATGTCCTCCCAAAAGACATGTTAAAGTATCTGTGAAAGTGACTTATTTGGAAATAGGGTCTTTGCAGATATAATCAAGTTTAGATAATGTCATTAGTGTGGCCCTAATGCAGTATGAGTGGTGTCTTTGTAAGAAGAGAGATAAACACAAAGGAGAACAGCAACTGATGACATAGATAGAGATTGTAGTGATGTATCTATAAGCTAAGGGATGCCATGGATTGTCAACAACAGCAGAAGCTAAAAGAAAGAGATGAAACAGATTCTTCCCTAGAGCGTTCAGAGACAGCATGGCCCAGCCAACAACTTGATTTTGAACTTCTAGCTTCCAAACTGTGAGGTGGTAAATTTCTGTTTTCTTAAGCCACCTAGCCTATAGTAATTTGTTACAGTAGCCCTAGGGAACAAATATGGGGTGGGTGGAACAGGGTGGGTGGCTAGAAAGAAGCATTAGGGTACTTTCTGGAGTGAAGGAAATGTATATTTTGATAGGGACTTGGGTTATATGAATGTATGGATTTGTCACCACTCATCTAATAGTACACTTGAGATTTGTGCAGGTATGAAAATTTTCCATAAAAAGAAAAAGTACCATAAGTAAATATTTAATTCTAATTAATGATATGCATGTTGAAGCATTTAAGGTTGAAGTGTACGGATGTCTGCAAGTTATTGATGGATGGAGGGATGGATAGATATGTTATAAAGCAAATATAACAAAAAGGTTAACCACTGTAGAATCTAAGTGGTGGATATTTGGTGTGTGCCCTACACTTTTTTCAATTTGAGTGTTTGAAAGTTTTCATAATAAAATGCTAGAGAAAAAACAAACTCTGCTTACTGTGTGTAAACATTTTCAAAACCAATTCCTTAGGCTATCACACCTCTGCTCCTTTCAACTAGACTGAAAATTCAAGAGCTGTGATAGCCTCAAAACATTTTACAGTTCACAAAATTAAGTCATGAGATAGTTGAATGACTTGCCCAGTGTCACACATTGAGGCCTTGGAGATGTTGCTGTCCTGGAGCTTCTTGCACCCAGCCATGTTAAGCCCCACCATGTTCTTTGATATCACTGCCAACCAAGTTGCAAAGTCAGAAGAAAACTTTTGTGCTCTGAGCACTGGGGAGAAAGGATTTGGCTATAAAGTCTCCTGCTTTCACAGAATTATTCTGGGATTCATGTGCCAGGGTGGTGACTGCCCATGCCACAATGGCACAGGCAGCAAGTCCATCCATGGGGAGAATTTTCTTTACATGCCTCTTTTTTTAATTTAAATTATTTTGTTGCTGTTCACTTAAAGTTGTCTGTATTTTCTCCCCAGCCCACACCCTCCAAACCCATCTACCTCCCTTGCAGGGAGAAATTTGATGATGAGAATTTCATCTGGAAGCACATAGGCCCTGGCATCTTGTCCATGGCAAATGCTGGACCCAACACAAATGGTTCTCAGTTTTTCATCTGCACTGCCCACACTGAGTGGCTGGATGGCAAGCATGTGGTCTTCATCCAGGTGAAAGACGGCATGGATGTTGTGACAGCCATGGAGTGCTACAGGTCCAGGAATGGCAAGACCAGCAAGATGATCACCATCACTGACTATGAGCTACTCTAATAAATTTTACTCATGTTTTATCTTAACCACCAGATCATTCCTACTGTAGCTCAGGAGGGCTCCCCTTCACCCTCATCTGCTTGGAATGTTCTATAATCTTCTTGCCCTCACCGAAGTTCATTGGGTTCCATGTTTTCCATGCCCCTTCCAAGTCTAACTGGATTGCAGAGTTAAGTTATGACTATGAAATAAAAACCTAACAAAAAACAAAGTCACACACTGAGTAATAGAGTTGAGGCAAAGCTATTTTTATTCCACAACTTTGCAAGGCTGGGATCATCCTGTCTTAGTCTTCATTATATACCCAGAACCTAGGCCAGTGCCTACATGCTGAAAGTTCAAGATGAATGAAAGGCTGCAGAGCTGTGCTCTTGACCACTCTGCACATACCTTGTGCTAAGGTCCAGGCTTTCCTTGGGCCCCAGTTATAGTCATTGGATCTATACCTCCTCCCTGATCCTAAGCCCTCACTCTGGTATCCTACCTAGTTCCTTGGTATCACAACACAAGACTTACTGGCTCCCTTTCTAGGGACTGAAATCTTATCCACCTCTAGACTTTTCACACCTGTTAATAGTTTCATACTATCAACCTGCTTTGACTTCTGACACTATCTAACTAGATTCCTCATTGCAATAACCCACCTGTCTAGCGGTGCTTCCCAGTTCTCTTGGCACACATATTGACCACCCCTACCCCCAATGCTGATTGCCACTGTTGTCTATTGTGGTCACACTTTGTCTGCTGGTCTGGCCTTTGCACCAGATCTGTGTAGTAAAGAAAAACAGAGGCCTTTACATCAAACACTTCCAACTGTCACCTGCTTCCTGGTTGTCTCTGGCCCTATCTGATCCCAGTGTGATTCTCTCGTGGTGCTCCTCACAGCCTAAGTGTGAGGCATACAGCCTGTGGTTCTAGAAACTTAGACAGCCTCCCAAACCTGAAGACAAGGGAAGGAAAGCAGAGAAGAAACAAAGGAAAGTAAAACAACCATTTTTCCCCTTTCTCTTCAAAATGTAGGGCAGCATATGAGTACTGCAGGGTGTGGGTAGAGCGTACATTTATTTTAGAGGGAATGAATCTTAAAATAACTAACCCAGCATTTGAGGGACAGGGAAAGGGCAAGAAAAGTTTAAAAAAGGCCATAAAATGGGGTGAGATCAACAAAAGTTTTCAGCACAAAGCAAGTAAAGCCTGTGAAGGAGAAGCTTGTGCGAAACGTCCAGAGTAAGCTGTACTTTTACCCTTCTAAGCTGTAGTGTGACTCAGTGGATACCTTATACAGATACTGTCTTTGAAAATTCCTCTTTTGTCCCCAGGCTCCCTAAAGTGAGTGACTACATTCCTAGATGTGTTATACACTACCGATTTTTTGCCATGTATAAAGTGCACTTTTTGCCCAAATTTTTGAGGGGAAAAATAAGGATGTTCATGATACGTGGGTAGTACTAATTCTGTATCTATCTAAATGCTTTTAGTTCTTTTATTTATGCTTATGTGTTATAGGTATAGCTCTAGAAAGCCATAACTATATCTTTATGCAAAATAATACCCTGAAATGCAATAATCAATTTTGTTTCTAAATATTAATTAATTAATTAATTAAAATGAAAGTTTTTTCCTGAAAGTTTGGGCCAGAAACATGGGTGCACATTACACACAGCAAAATATGGTATATGCAAATTATAGATGCATAGTTTGCTTTGGCCTGTGCGTAGCCAGCCTGACTGAGGTGGAGAGAGAGCTCAGAAAGCAGCCCTTCCAGCCAGAATTGACTCACCAATCAAAAGTAATTTCACAAAAGAATTCTTTTCACTTCAATTCACTTCAGATGAAAATAACCTGTGACTAACACAGGATTGGGCATAATTAGTTCCTTTATCTCAGATACGTCTAAAGCAGAATAAACAATGTCTCCCTCACTCTACACCCCCAGCTCTGTCAAGATTCTAACTTCCCAGCACTGGAGGAAAAACACGGGGAACTGAGTAGGGGAGAGAGCACACCATGCTACAGACAGAGAGCAGATGTAAAGAGACTAACTTACTATTGCCTGCTTGGCATAATGGAGTTTTCTCTTTTCAATTTTAATTTTTTAAATTATTATTGTTATCCTATTACATTTGTCCCAATGTTTCCCTGGAGTTACTTTCTTAGTGGTTGCTCTGGTGATTGCAATTAACATCTTAATTTATAACAATCTAGTTTTTGTAATATCAACTTAATTTTAATAGCATACAAAAACTTGGCTCTCATGAAACTGCATTCCCTCTCCCTTCCTTTTTTGCTTTGCATCTTTATACATTGTATGTCCATGGACACAGATTTATGATTAGTGCTTTATGCGATTGTCTTTTAAATCAGCTGGGAGAAAAAAAATAACTTATAAAGAAAAATGCATATATACTATATTTCATGTTTATCTATGTAAGTAACTTCCCTGGTGCTCTTTATTTTTTAAGCTATTCATGCTCTGGTATTTTGCTATGGCACCCCTAACAGAATAATCCAGGTGGTATCCTGGATGGAATCTTGAAATAGAAACAGGATATTGGGCGGGTGGGGGGGAATCAATGAAATCAAAATAGAGTGTGCAGTTTAGTTAATAGCACTGTACTGATTTTGGTTCATTAGTTATGACAAATGGACCAAAATATGTAAGATGTTTAAAAGAGTGGAAATCGGGTTCTGATTTCCAGGTCACTCTTACACAGGAGGTCTCTGTACTATTTTTACAACTTTTCTGTGTATGTGAAGGCAAAAATTAAGATTTTAAAAAAACCAGAGAGAGGAGAGGTAGCCACAGCCCATAGACACAGGGAAACAGAGGCATGTAAAAAGGTTGTAGACTTCACAGGGTAGTGACGTTTTCTCCACCACTACTTCCTCTCTGTAGACATATACCAGAGCTCCCCCGATTCTCCTTTGGGCTGCCTTCCAAGGTACAAAACAAAGTATGGATCACTCCTGATCCAGTTCCCTTGCAGTCATTGTGTTACTGTATAAAAAACAAATCACACTGCCCTAGCTGGTGTAGCTTGGTGGATTGAATCCCGGCCTGCAAACCAAAGGGTTGCCACTTCGATTCCCAGTCAGGGCACATGCCTGGGTTGCAGGCCAGGTCCCCACTTGGGAGCTTGTGAGAGGCAACCACACATTGATGTTTCTCCCCCTCTCTTTCTCCTTCCCTTCTGCTCTCTCTAAAAATAAATAAATAAAATCTTTTTTAAAAGATTTAATTAATTAATTAATCCAATTAATTAATCTATTTAATCCATTAATCCATTAATTAATTAATTAAATCTTTTTAAAAAGATTTTATTTATTTATTTTTAGAGATGGAAGGGAGGGAGATAGAGTGAGAGAGAGAAACATCAATGTGTGGTTGCTGGGGGTCATGGCCTGCAACCCAGGCATGTACCCTGACTGGGAATCGAACCTGCGACACTTTGGTTCGCAGGCCGCGCTCAATCCACTGAGCTACGCCAGCCAGGTAATAAATTAAACCTTGAAAAAAAAAAGATTGTGCTGTAGGAAAATGGAAAATCCAAGGGTATTTCAAGTCCCCAGTCTCTGTAAAAGTACTAATGCAGCTGTTCTTTTTCAGTCTCTCAAAAGGAGAGGAAATAAGGTCTCTAAAGCTCACAAGCCCCAACCAATAGCAGTCCATGAAGGAGATGCTGGTGTTAACAGGAAAGTCTATAGACCAGCTTCTCTACTGCTTCAAATCAACATAGATAGCATTACTCTTTGTGTACCTATCTGCAAAAATCTCCCTCTGTGAACCTTTCATTCTATCAATTAATGCAAGATTCAGTCATCCTCAATTCCCCTTTTTATAAATTTGTTTTGCATGTAACAAGAGAAAAAAAGAAGGGAAGCCATCAGGAACTCCGGGCCTATAGTTCTGTAATGGAGCAATAGGGTGGGATCCACAAGGTAAGAGGCCAATGAAGAAGGAGCTAGTGAGAATAAGGATGCTCACCTTTCACCCCCATCTTCCACGTCATGGACTAACACCAAAGGTCTCCAACTCTTTCTCACTTTAGACTAACTTTCATACCAACAAGCCAGTCTGGAGCCTTTGTTGATGTAGTCTGTTTATGAACAACCACACACATTCTTCCTGAACTGCAGGATGGGGAGAAGGCATTAGGTACCAGGATTTCCTTACCTCTATAGAGGCATCAACACAGAAGTACTGGCAAAATGAGAAAGTAAATCTCCATGAGCCTTAGACACAAAGCACTGACCTGTGAAGGAGAAGCTACTGTAAACTGGTCAGCAAAGTTACTTGCTCCTTTATCCCTGCCGCTTTTACTATGGAAAAAGCTGTTAACCTGCATCTCAGTTAGGTGCTACCAGACAACATCCCTCTGGTCCCCTTCTATTCCTCATGGCAAGCAAAGGTCATTCTTGACCTGTTCCCCATATAGTCTTTCCCTTCCATGTACATTAAGCTGGAAGATGGAAGACATCAAGGAACTGCAGTCCTTGAGCTTTATAAAGCTCCACTACCCCAACAGTATAGAACAAATATAATTGTAGGCATGGCGGGGGACAAGCAAGTGAAACTTGTCTTTACAGGTCATTTTCTAAACAGGAAAGAATAGACTAGAGGGAGTAAGATTCAAATTTTCATCAAGCTCACACAAATATCCTGAAAAGCAGCCTAGAGCACAAAACTTTCTCCCTAGCCTCATACTACTTCAAGAAGCAGCCTGGACAGTGCTGTTGAGGGTCAGTCAGGCATAGGTGAATCTTAAACAGGAAGGAAGAGTGAAAACTTTGGTTCATCTAACAAACTGCCTGGGGATGCCATCTCCTGGGTGAAGTCAGCTTGGGAGAAGTAAAGACCAGTTGCAAGGGGAATCCCAGCTGAGTCCCACCCTTTCCTAACTGCCCCTTATAGGTGCAGAGGCACCATGCTTTCTTCTGGGGATGGAAAGGGCCAGCTCCCTCACTTGACACATGCTAGGTGATGTAGAGAGTTATTTACC